GTGCTAGGGATTATATGGAACTGTGATTACCGTTCGATCAACTGTACTTCTCTTCCCCGTTCCTCCTTCTCCCTCTCAATCTTAGCTGCATTTTTCTGCCCTATTCCTTCCTCTCTTATCAGCACTTTCTCTCTCTCTCACTCTCATCTGCACTTCCTTCAGCCGTTTATCTTTCTCCCAAATCCCACCTTATCAACCCGTTTGTTTTTTTTTTTTTTTTGACATATCGCCATCACCGAAGTTTCTCATTAAATCACACACAGACAGGCACACAAACACACGTACACACACACACATGCATGGTATTGTGCGTTGGCGAAGCAGTAATGTAAGCATATTAAATAAAACAGAGTATATACGTAGCTAAGAGAAATGAAAATGCAAAAGAAAATGCAAAAAAAAAACGATGAAAAGCAAGAGTCTGACATCAAATTGCCTTTAAATTCTTTTCGTGTTTTTCCGTAGCGAGATTTGTGTTTTTTTGTACCGGAAACTTGCACCACACACACACACATATACATATATGTATATGCATATATATACATATATATATATATATACAAGCACACATACTTACCCAATGGATGCGGGCTTATTGGATATCTAGAAAATACATACATGTATGTATATATGTATTTATGTATGTGTGTGTGTGTGAAGAGACATGGATGAGATGGAATTTTTGTAGAGAAGTGAAAACACAAACACATCTGGAAAGCAACAAACAAATAAAAACAAATTAAAATAAATAATAATGCTGATATTTAAAACGAAGATGAAAGAAGAGGGAAATACCCAAAAAAGAAGAGAGAATAGAAAGTCAAAATACAATATTTTTGCACAGAGTGTTATCGAATAAGTATTAGACATAATATGTAATTGTATCGTATTTACTGATGATATTGAAATTCAAAAGTTTGACTAACGAATGGTCGAACAGCCGACCCCAACTCTCAGCCAGATCCCCGACTAAGACACAGTCATCGAACCAATCAGACCACAACCACGGTGTGTGTATTGATGAAAAGGTGACGCACAAAGCGCTGCATTGTTAACTGCTGACGTCACATGCTATTCACTCAAGATTAATGATTATTGTCTGAATAGTTATAATGGGGACATGTTTTTCAATGGTAAGATTATGGCAGCACTTGCATCGAATAACTGTTAAGGACAAACAGGATAGTCCTGCATTTAGTTAACATTTCAGAGCTATCAAATTTTCCATAGCAGCTGTAATTGTTTGCTATTTGTATGCTCATAGACATACATGAAGGACATTAGTTTTGTAAACAAAACTTCATAATTGAAACTGAGAACATTTAAAAATTCACAAAAATTATTTCAAATGTATTATCTTTGATCATTTCAATTAGAATTGAGTGAAAATCGAAAATGAAAGAAATAAAAATTTTTAATTTGTATGCCCAGAATTAGGATGTTTCGTTAAACATGCAGTCTTTGATCGATCATTCCTCAGATATAGTAATCCGATGCAATGTGGCTTTTCACAACTGCCAGGTTTTTACTGATAGATAGTCCAACAAAACTGTGACGACAAGAGCAAAGAACTTGTGACGTAGTACAGACAGCAAGTCAGACAACTGAAGGCACCACCTGCACTCCTTCTTTCATGAATTACACACACACACACACATATATATACACACACTCTCTTTCTCCCATACATATATTCGGGCATTTTCGAAGGCGCATGCATTCTCAACACTCAAATGAAACATTTAAATAAAATAGAAAATGAGAAGATAAGAGACGTCTAACTCGCTGCCACAAACGCCCAGCTTGTGAGTCAGCACTTGCCGAACATAAATCTAACCATAGCGGTGGTCAAACAGACAAATTGTTTGCGCACAAAACGACCTTAATTTTGTAACGCATTTTTTCTAGACGCTTGTAACTCTTTGTAACACTCAAAACCCTGGGCATTGCTCATGAGACTCGAACAAATTTGTGTGCAAATTATTTACCCGTCTGACCATTTAATCGAGCAAAATGAGAAGTCTGCTAAAATGGAACGAATTTCTGCAAGAGAGCTCTTTCCCAAGTCAGTAGTATCGGAAAATAAGAACTTTTGTTAGAACAGATATATCGGGAATTCTCTTCCTTATTACACAATGGAGGTCAGAAAGCTACAGACGTTCTTGAACCCAAAAAAAAAAATACCTCTAGATGCTTCTAATTCGAATTTGGAATATATTTTTTATTCTAATGGCAGACGTTTGCAGTGCTGTGAACAAACATTTTTGAGAAAGATAATGTCGAGAGAAGCTTTAAAAAGATTCCTACACATTTAAGCAGATCTTTAGTTTGACAGATCTTTCAATCGCTGGCTGGGTGGTTTTCGGGAGCATCGTGGAATGTTTCTAGAACATTAGTTAGCTAATTTTGAAAGACATACTTACAAACATACATACAAGTACATGCATATATCTTTCACGGGAATCATCTGAAATGGAGCCCCCCCGTCTCAATTCCAATTTCAATCTCAGCCAACAAACAGTCTCAGTCACAATCTGAATCTGAATCTGAATCCCAGTCCCGTCCATGTCGTGCAGATAAGAAACGATTGTAGTCCAAGGTCCCACAACATCTGCATTGACGAGCCCCCCAAATAATGCCTACCATATATAGCTCGCACATACATACGAGTATATGCCAGAGGGGAAGTAAGTCGAGCCTATACATACATGCTATATACTACATTATAGATTATAGATATACATCTATGTATATACTGGTATCCAACTGTATGGCTATGTGTGCGACTATATATGGTGAGAAGAGAAGAACTTTTTATGGTGCTTAACTTGGAAATTCTAGAACTCGAATCATGGGACTGATGCAATGAATGAATGATAATGAAACACTCATACACACACACACACACACACAGAGACAGAGACAGACACATGGTATAGTCAGGAATCGGGGTTCTCTCACGTGACATATGTACATATAAGGATTTATGCACACAGAAGGGTTACGAACACACGCATTACGAACAACAAATGGGGTGGCAAGGAGAACGCTCTGTGGAGATACCCCCAGGAATAGATCGTAGCATGTACACCCCACATATGTAGGTAGCTATAGTACATATACTTGTAGTACTTGCATACACACAAACACACACACACACACACACACACACATACATACAAAACATGCATGAATGAATTAGCAAAGGAAAACAAAAAGAAAAGGAAAACAAAAACAAAAACAATAAACCAAAAAGGATATATAGATACTGTTTTTGTGAACTCGAATTCTATGCCGCCAGATGGGCGACCTTTTAATTGAGATAATTTTTTTTATATAAATATACATAAGTGTGTATGAATGTTAATTTTTTTTATATACAGATATATGAATATATATATATATATATAAATATGTATAATGTACCCAATTATTGTTTTCAAATCTCATATAAATGTTACTTGAGTGGATTAGTCAGCGTTTGCATTATGTAATGGAAATCGAAGGTACAGATACCAGACATGAATATAATTTTAAAAGAAATCGATGTAATTTATAATAACGGAAAGGACACGGAGAAGGAATAGAAGCAAATGAGAAGAAGCGGAAGCAGAGAAAGAACAAGAAAAACGTTTTCGAAGACGAAATGAAATGTTAGCAAATATATATAATAACTGATGCGAAAACGAACTAAGTCCCTTAATTGAGATTTTTAAAGCACGATTCGAGATCACACATCTAATCTAATGAATAACACATGTATTAATAATAATAATGAAATGATGTATTTACGAATAAAATTAACAATATCACATGGAAAACCAAACAACAAACATCTGTCTACTGTCAACTTCTTCAACATGAACAGATCACCAATCTGTTCTGATATTTTGCACAGTTTCTGATCAACTTAGAGCTCTTCAAAATATTTAATAAATCTATTTAATATTATGAATTCCTTATAAGTTTTATCTTATCTGAGATTATCTTAATATCACTACAAGTTCTCAAATCGTCTATCTGCCCAGACTCTTCAAAAATGATATTTAATAAAGATCTTCTGATCATCTCTAGAAGTTTCTCCACATGGTAATTCATCCGATATTAGACTCCCAGACTCTTCAAAAATGTTATTTAATGGAGATCTTCTGATCATCTCTAGAAGTTTCTCCCAATGGTAATTCATCCGAGATTAGACTCCCAGACTCTTCAAAAATTATATTTAATGGAGATCTTCTTATCATCTCTAGAAGTTTCTCCAAATGGTAATTCATCCGAGATTAGACTCCCAGACTCTTCAAAAATGTTATTTAATGGAGATCTTCTGATCATCTCTAGAAGTTTCTTCAAATGGTAATTCATCCGAGATTATGTAATAGCTACTACATATAACTAATTTTTTAACATGTAATGTTATCTTTCAACTGAGATTAGCCATAAGTTGTTAAAAACTGTACTTAATCTGAGATTCTCTACAAGTTCCTGAAACTTCTGCGATTTCTGCATTTCTACAAATATTTCTAGGACCTTCAGTTAAATCGAGGATAGCCTGATGGGCTTGACATGTAAAGATTTTCCAGCCCTGGAGATGAACACCACCTTCATCTTCCTGCGTCTTTCCCTCCCTACATTATTTGACGCCATGATATGCACCTCCTTTAGAGAGAACTAAAAAAACTACGACGGGATTTGAAGGCCTTAAAGATATGAATTGCCCATAAACCCAGAGTTCTACAAATTCAAAATATTTGTGGAAATTGTGGGATCGATGGTGTAAATTGTTCTCGCTGGATTCGGATTGGACAGTTTTTGAATGGTTTGAAGAGCTCTTCAGCGGGTAGACTGTCTGCCAGAAGGATCATTAAGGCGCTGTGGGACTATATATGTTTATATATGTAGAATATCCTTTCTGGTTTTGTAGGCTTTGGATTGTTTGTTAATTCAGAATCTATTTATATATAGCTGTGTATTGTTGTTTTGTTTTTGTAAATTGTTTCATAACTTTTTCCATTCTTGTACGGCAAACACTTTTTCGCACTTTCCACAAAGACGGCGAGATGTTCGGCTTCTCGCCAAAGTCCCAAATGGACAGCATGGTGTGTCCTTATTATAGCAAGGATGTGCTGGTTGGCAACTGGCGGGAGCGTCGCTACGTTATGGAGCAAGAAAGCAACGCCATTCTGCCGGGCCTGCACACGAACGAGAATTGCGAGCAACATCGCACCCTCAACCAGGACACGTACACGGATGCGGCCTTCAAGGGGGACGAGGTGAAGAGCCGGCACGATGAACGGCGCATGGAGTCCTTTCGCAACTGTTTTAAGAGCAGCGCCTCGCAGGTGGTTCTGCAGGATAGACCCGAAATGGGCAAAAATTATACGACCACCAATACTCTGTTCTTTGAGGTGCTGCCCAAGGACCGCCAGCAGTGGTGCCAGCAGGGCGCCGCTAAGAACAAAAAGGAGATCGAGCTCACTCGAGTCCCACAGTTCGACACCCTGCAGGGCTACGGAAACCTCACCAAGACCGGCTTCAATACCCGCAGATTTTGCAAATACGCACTCGATTCAGCAAATTGCCGCTACCAGACCACCTATTCGGCTTCCTACGATCCTGGCACGAAGTCGAAGCCGAAGGTCCCCTCTGAATTGCTAAAATATGAGGATCTCGTGTGCTGAGCCAAAACCAAAACCGAACCTTGCATTCCAAATCGTATAGTTTAGCGACTCCTTACAGAATTCTTTCAGCTAGGTTCATTGTCCTCCTCCAATATACTTATGTCCTTGCGCGTCTGGATGGCCCCTTCCCCCATCTCTAAAGCGAATATTAGATGCCAAACATATATGCCAGCATCAAATTTTTTGCATCTCATATGGCTTCAAAGATGGTGCAAGGAAAAGGCCCTAGTTGAACATCATTCTAAAAACATACATAAATTTATGGATATCTGAAGAATCAATAATAAAATCGTTCTCAATGCCCTCGAAATAGGCTTAGTTTCTGAAATTGAAATCGAACCCAAATAACAAAAAGTATGCAACGATTTCTTGTTGTTTTTTTAAGAATATATTATTGGATTGTACAATATATATACCGTCATTATTTACAAAAACTTCAAGAATAGAAGAAACTTAAGTTAGTTTAGACTTATTTAATTTATTATAATTTATGAAATGTGGATCCTCTTTTTATGCGCCGCTTCTTTAGCCGCCCCATTTACTGCGCAGCCTGCTAATCCTCAATTGCTCTTAACAAACAGTTTTTCTGTTCGAGTATAAAGCCACCTAAAGCCACCATCTTACAAATTCAAAACAAAAAGAAGAGTTTCCTTATTTATTAATTTGTTGAATCAACTAGAAGTAAGCGCGACTCGATCTCTGGTCAGAGCATTAAATAATGTAGCTTCTGAGCATGCAAATGGGAATGAACTTATTTGAAGAATTCAATGGGAAATTGTGACTCGATGATGACTTTAAAATCCTTTTTCCGCACACTCTCGGCCGCATCCACTTCCGCATCCAGGCAGAAATCCCTGCGAAAAGGAAGTATCATTAATGCAAAGGTTATGTATTGGGTGTGGCATCGGAACGTACTCCTCGTTGGCGAGCGTTACGTTGATGCGTTCGGTGGAGACGCGTGTGGGACGTATGGCGCCAAAGAAGTCTGTAATGGGCACCTTGTGAGGATCTCGTTGGTACAGATCCTTGCGAACTCCAACGGTTGAAATACAGACACGCTTCGGGCAGACTTGCAGCTGGGAGGAGCAAATTAATGGTAATGGAAGTGGATTTGGCTTTGCTAATTGAGGGCACTTACAAATTCGCCAATAGTGCGTTTGCTAAATGGCTGCACCTTTTCCAGGAACTCTAGAGCATAGTAAGTATAGCGATCAATCATATAGACGCCAATGGACGGATCTACGTGGTGCTGTAAAACGAAAGGAATGGGATGAATAAACACGCAGCTTGTAAAGCCAAATTGCGACATACTGAGAGCGAATCCTCGCCGACCAAACTGCTGGCAACTGCCAGGACATTGGGCGATGTGAACTTCTCATAGAGCGAAGCCGCCTGGCAGGTGTCCACCATAAAGAAGAGTTCGTTGTATCTGCAAAGAAATTGTTAAGAAAGCGTGGATGTGAAAATGATGGATGCACCTTTTCTTCTCCCACATCTGCTGTATGCCGTCGGCCAGCTCCTGGCTGGTGATCTCTTCAGAGTCCTGAAACTTCAGGAAACCATCACCGCCATGTCCCGTCAGATAAATGAGAACATTGCTGCCAGCATCGGACAAAAGCTTTTTGGAGCGCGCCGTACCGTTCTGGGTGCGTCCGGTGAGCAGACGCACAAAGTTCTCGACAGTGACCTCATAGCCGCGATAATCGACCTCCACATCGTCGCCATACACATTAATATGTTGATTGGCATTATTGTAGACCTGGCCTGGACGTGGATTACGGGCATTGCAGGCCATGTCGTCGGCTATCATCAGAATTATTTGGGAATCGGGTATGCCAAGACGCTTCACGGACCGATAAATCGACAGCACATTCGCCACATGCCGGTAATTAAACCAAAACCGCGACGCATCCACCAACACGGCCCAGTTATTTGTATGCGTCGATCTCTGTGCGGCATCGACATACGCCTCCGGCAGTATTGCTGTCTCCTGCAGGAATTATTGTCATTATTCAATTGACATACACCTAAAAGGTACTTACAGGTTTGCCCATGCAGCAGCTCACCAAAAAAAATGCAATGCATAGTAAAGATAACTCCTTTACTCGCATTCTAAATTAATGTTTTATTATCTTGCAAAGAAAGCGGCAATGACAGCTGTTTTGCTTAAATAGTTGCCAGGCGCTTGCAATGATAAGAACTCTGCTGTTTGACCATCTGGCAGCCTTGTATTCTCTACGGCGGTGTTGTAAAACGTTAAAACAATCATCAAGCAACATGTTGTTGCAGCAGCCTGCTGCACAAAAGAGAACACAAGCATACACAGAGAGAATGATTAATGGCGAAATTTTAAACATAATTTTCAGCAATTTAACGCACATTTGTCATCATTTTAAAAGCAAAAACATGGAATTCGTGTAAATGTCTACAAAGAGAATCCAAGTATTGCATGCGCAAAGCATTGCAAGTTATTGAAAAAATTGAAAGAAAATTCACAATGGCGCTCTTTTATAATTCAATATGGCGGCACTAACATGAAAACTAAGAGAATGATAGCTTAGTTGTTGCAGTTGTAGCGTCTGCTGTCAGCCCTATCGCACATCCACATACAAACAACCATACATATGTACACACATAGCCAGATGCAAACACATGTACATACATATGTATGTATGAATGATAGTATGTGTTGGATTTTGACTGAATTTTAACTGTTGTTTGCCTGCTGACGCACAACATTTTGCATGCATGTTTGGCTTTTCACATTTAGTAGCAGAAAATTGAAGAAAATGTAACAGCAAAGCGCTTGAGAAAAACTCTCTGAATTCGCCGCAACTCAGTCAGCTTGCGATCATCGTCGGCCCCAGCTCTCGCCTGTTCTTACAGATTCTCGCTCTCCAATTCACGTGGGCTTCCATACGAACGTATGTATGTATGTCGCCACATACATATGTATGTATGTACATATACATATATACAGGTTCGTTTCGTTTGCTCTTAGGCTTGCATGAGTGTGCGTTTTCTGCCCCACCATTCATTCCCGATGAGCTTTGCCGGAAGTTTTCTTTTCCATCCATTGTTGTGTATTATGCTTTGCCGCTAATATTCGTTTATCGCTGCTTCTGCTTTGCCTTGAGTCTCGTGGCTGACAGCTGCGTGGCGTTTGTCGGCCATTATGTATGTATGTATGTACATATCTATGTATGTACATATGTAGGTTTTCCAATTGTATTGCAGTTGGCGCAGGCATAAATGTGAATACATTAATGTACATGCATTTGTACATGAATGCAAACATACATACATACATACATATGTATGTACATATGCCTATTTACACAAACTTTTCAAGTGCAAATATAATTTTCTAAATGAAATTCAGCGGGTGGGCGTATGTACATTTGTATATATGTACATACATACATATGTATGTAAAAGAAACATATATATGTACATACATATGTACATACATATATGTATATGTTTGCATTGCAATTAAAGGATATTTAGTATTTTACATTAATTTACGGAAATTGGTTCCTGCTGATGATTATCAATAAGGATTAAAAGAATTGTGAACTGTTTCCGTATTTTATTTATGTTTAATCTCTTTTAATATATTTGCATATATGTACATACATATATAATGATAAAAAATAATAATTATAATAATAAAAATATTAATTAATTGTAGATATGTACATTGTATGTATGTAACTCCCTTGCTTCATTTCCACTTTCCAGTTAAATTAATTATTAAAAAGGAAAATGCAAACTGAAGGGCACTACAACCATCCAGTCATCTAACCTTCGTAATATTGTGGGCCGGCAGGGAAGAAGGTTACGGTTTGACCAAATTGACATACCTTATATGTACATATGTATGTACATACCATATGCACATAAATAGCGTGCACATTGAAACCGACATACAAACAAACATTCTCCATTCTCGCTTTTGTTATTGATTTTCCTTTAATTGCCGAGGTTAGTGTGTACGACGGATGTTATGCATTGGCGGCCTTCCTTGGAAGGAGGTGGTTGGCTCTAGAAGAAAAGTGCTTGTGGGTTGGGATAACTTCACAGGACGTATACATTCTGGCTTGCATTGCAAGTCGAAAGTCAAGGCCGAACGGGCAAATATTTGTAACACAATTGCCCCCTTTTGTACCCAAAATGACACATTTTTCAGAAAAAGGGACAGAAGAGAAACTAAGATGAATGAATTTGCATGCGAATAGCAAACAAAAATGGAAACAAATAATATAAAACAGAGCAGACATAGACATCGGCCGAGCGTTCCACACTCGTAAGCTGAATGCGTTCGTTTGTACAAAAAATATGTGTATATTTACATATGTACATACATATACGTATGTTGTGTATTTATTTAATTGTGTGCGAAAGCGTTCCGTTATTGCTACCCCGATGACAACGCACACATATGTACATATAAAGGACATACTCCGAGGCCCAATAAAAAAAGAACAAAAGCCGCAGTTGTGCGACGACAATTTTTGTTGGTCTACGATTTGCAAATAAAAAATAAAACTTAAAATATAAAGTCAGTGAGCAAACATATACATATTTCCATACGTATGTTTGTATAGGCCAGAGAAGACACCCCACGCTCTCCCTGAAATTCAATTTAAGGACTAGACCAGCAGCACCTGAGCTGTTTGGCTTGCATTTTATTTACATACAAACTACAGTCATAAGTGTACACACATAAAAAAAGTGATAGTCATTGCGTGTTTATGGGCAATGCACAACACTGGTCCTTGAGAGCGAGGTCCTGTGTGTGCTTAAATGTTATTTGCCTGTGATTAGCACAGACATATTATGTATATGCCTTGGCCAAAAGAGTAGGGCAGAAAAACAAAAGTATCTTTGAGTTTTTAGCACTTGCATGTTGGCGTTTAGCGAGAGCGGAATATTTGCGGCGAATACACATACACACAAATATACATTCATTTCGCCGTCATCAATAGACGCAACGACGCTCTCCGCTCTCACCGCTCACTGCTCGCGCTCTTTGCACTACCGTACGCTGCCATTTTGCCTTTATTATTTCACTTCGTGCCGTGTTTGCGTTCACAACTCACTCGGTTCGGGTTCTGCATTTTATTTTATTATTATTGTTTTTTTTTTATTTTTCACTGCTTTGTGGAGTTTATTTGTACATTTGTATATAAAATTGTTCGCGTTTTCATTGACTTTAACTCAATTAAAAAAATATTTAACAATGATGCGGAAAATTTGCAAATGATGCGAGGGGGCTCTAAAAAAAAAGAGAATTAAGTAAGTGTCGCCGTTGCCGTCGCTGCCATTCGTCGTCGTTGTCGGTCAGCGAAGAAAAATTAAAAAGCAAATGCAAAAAGCAAGTCAAAAGTGAAGCGAAAAAGACAAGTGAGTGCCGTTTTTGTACATATGCATAAATATATGTATGTATGCATGAATATTGTATGTGTGCGTCGTCGTGTTTGTTATAAAAAGGCAAAAATAAAAATTGACTTCTTTCCTGTTCGCGTTTTTTGGCAACTCTCTCTCGCATCGGAAGCGTAATTTTTACAGTTTTCCTCCACATTTTCCGAACACGTTTGTGTATGTGTGTAAGTTACATTGTATGAGTGCTTTGTACAAACGTGTGCGACGTCGACGTGCGAGTAGCAGCATCTGCACACACACACAATAAAAACCGAAAAAACACGCTCGCGTTGGGCGAATGCGAACGCAGCTGGCAACTCTGCCAATTTTAAGCAACTTTTCTTTTCACACCCGTTTCGTGAAAAATCTTATGGCAGTTTCCGTTCAGCTCATTTTCCGCCACTGCTCTCTTTTGGGTCTCCGGTTGTTGTATTTGTGTTGTGCATTTGACTGTTTACTATTAATTTACCTTATTTTTATTTACCTTTTTGCACATTGATATATCGAGTAGATGTGATACAAATATAATATGTGTTTCTTCGTATAACATACATTATGTATACTTCATTTTGTGTTATTCGCGATTCGCTTTTATTTCCTTTATTCGCTCTGTTTGTTGTCGCTGTCATTGCGTTTCCACTGGCTTCGCCTTCGTTGCAGAGGGTGGTGGCGGCGGCTTGTCATTTTACGAGCAATGGCAAAGCCAATGAATGTATGTGTTATGTGTGAGTTCATATACATTGGTATATATGTGTGTTTGCTATTAAATCCGTTTTCTGTGCCCGTTCTGTGAGTTGTAAATAAAGTTTGAAATGCAGGTCGGTTTCCTTTTGAGCTTAAGTTACGACGCAACATTTTGTGATTTGTTAATTCAAAAACTTTAATTAGATAGTCCGATACTACTTTTTTTGTTTGGCTTTTTGTTGTTATATTCTTTTTTCATGGAAATCTTCGCCCCCTGTTGATGACAACCGCAGTCAAAGCTCGAGCAAAAATGGCGTCGTCTGTCATTGCGCTGTTGGCTAATAGTGGAAGTCGGCGCTCCTATATATTTTTTTATTTTATTTTTATTTTTTGCAAACAATTTGTGAGTTGAAGACAGTGGATGTGCATTTATATAAAGTAGTGCTAGTTTGTGCATAATATTTAAAAGTAAAGAAAAGATTTGCAAAATAAAATATGTCGATTTAGAAAACAAAATTGTTGAACGTGTCCTGCGATATTGCTGCACAATCTGCTTCGGTTGGTCGGCATTTAAATAAAACGTGTCCTAGTTGCGTATTCGCCGATTTAAGTTATTTTATTTGTGAACATTTTTGTTTTACTATATGTATATAAGTATTTTCGCCGTACGCACCAATTCTTCAGCGACGCCAATGGCGAATTTTTCTCACTTCTTGGCAGCTACAGCAGCCGCCGCCGCTCGCCGCTCACACATAAATTTTTGAATCGCTTTATTACTCTCAGTTTCTCTAAGCCCCAGCTGCTGCCCTACAACCGAACGAACCGTCAAACTCGTTTTCGATTGTTGCTTGCCAGTGTTTTGCGGCACCGCGCGCCTGCGCCTTCGTTCCAAATTCCCTGAAATCCCATTTGCTATACAATATTCTAGCGGGCTTGAGGCTCCACTAATTTGCTTGTAAGTTCTGCTCTTCTACGGGTTTTGGTTTCTCCTTGTCGATCTGATGAATACAATTCTTTTTGTTGCGTTCACGTTGCGTATTAGTAATATTCATATATACATGCATACTCTTCTATACATATGTAAATATTCAGAGTTGTGTATTAAATGCAGCTTCTCTGTTGCAGTTAATCAACAAATGGGACCAAATTACTGCAACTGCAACCTAAATTGGAACGAACATTTGCAGCATATTACATTGGGTTGGACGGAGGAAACTTTGCCAAAATAGGAGCGGTGACATCGGCTTCCGCGTCCTCGTCCTCGTCTGCTTTCCCGTCACCAATCCCAGACAGTGACGGTGACGCAATGTCGGCACGCAAGCCGGGGACAGTTGCGGCCAAGTTGGATAGCAGGACGACGCCACCACTGCTATTGGCATCCATTTCAGCTATCGACGGCAGCAGTGCCGAGGCTGAATTGTCAGCAACAGAAGGAGGAGGCGAAGCGCCTGATGCAACAATCGTGAAAATTGACAGCACGATAACTACAAATGTGACATTAGCGAGAGCAGTATCGCCCTCGATAGATAAGACAGATGGTCAGACGGTGGTCGAGGATCGGGTATCGCCCTCAATAGATACTACACCGAAAACTCCAACACCGTCTGATGGCACTTCAAAAGTTGTCCGCGTTACGCGTCACTCTTCCCCGCACCTTTTACTCAGCTCACCTGTCAGCTCAGCTGGTGCTGGGACTGGATCTGGGAGTGGAAGTGGGGCCACTCGACGTATGGGAAGCGCTTCTGCTGACGATGGTGGCACCGATGCTCAAAGCGATGGAGAAGAACCGTCCTGCAGCAGCCTGAGGAAGACTGTGAGTGAAAGAGTTACACCAACTTCTGCTTCGACCATACGCGGGCGAAAGTCCTTAAAAGATTTTAAAGAAGCCAAAGAAGCCGTCAAGATGCCGGAGGAAATTGCGATCAAAGAAGAGCCCAAGGATGTGACTGAACTGGAAGTTAATCAAATGCCCGAAGAAAAAGACCACAAAGACACAAAAGACAATGTCAAACCGGACAAGGAAAAGGAGCCCCAAGTGGCGGCGGCTAGTATCTGTAATCGGGTAACGCGCAAAACTCATGCCCAAGAGATGGCCAACATAACGCGGGTGACGCGTAATCGCCGACAATCCTCAACTATTGCTACGGAACCACAGCTGCCGGCACGCGGACGCCGGAAGAAAGCCGTGCCGGTCGAGTCTGTCGCCAAGCGAAAGCGTTCCGAGGACGACCCGGAGATTAGCCTTAAAAACACAAAAGTGGAGGTAAAACCTTTAATGGGCAGTGAGGAGGACGCTCGAGATGCCACCGAGGATGTGGAATCTGTTGCGTCTCTAGCGGACGATGTTGTGAAGGAGGCCCTCAACATTAAGCAGGAGCCACACGACAGTGACGACACATCCTCACCCGCCGTCACACCAACCCTAACTGGTTGCCGACGCGGGCGCGGCCGCCCACAGGGAAAACACCTACTGTCCTCATCGCCGGCCACACGGGCCACTCGCCACAGCAAGGCCGGATCACCTGTGCTGGTAGCTGTAGAGCCGGCACCGCCTAAGCGACGTCGCGTGGGTTCTACAAACCGAAGTATACTGCCCACAAAGACTGCGTCCACAAGCTCACTGGCCACCTCCTCACACGGAGCTGGCGACGAAGACTCAAAAGACAGCATGGCCTCGTCCATGGACGACCTTCTATTAGCTGCCTCAGATATAAAACAAGAAAAACTGACTCCAGAATTTGACGAGAACTTGATGTCGGAAAGCCTGGACTCTGCGAAATTCCAACAAATCAATCAGACTGCAAAGCCAGTTGATACCGATCCATCAACGTCCACCACCATCGGATCTAATGGCCACCAGTGTGTTGAGCCACTCACGGTAGACACGGAAACGACTGCCATCCGCAAAAAGTCCTTGTCACCTGAACCTGCCAAGCAGAGTGATGATTCCAAGGTCGATGAGAGTGTCCTTGTCGCCTCCCTAAGCGATTCCGAAAAGGCCCCCTCATTAAGCCCTGAACTGATCAGCGAAGGCGTCAGCGCCATTAGCGTCAAGAAGTTTTATAAGAAACCGGAATTTCTGGCCAATAATCTTGGCATTGAAAAGGATCCCGAATTAGGTGAAATTGTTCAAATAGTGAGCAGCAGTAGCGTTCCGACCCACACAGATCCCGATACGGAGAACGAACCTGAGGCCGAGGCAGAGGTTGATCAAATAGTTGATCAAGTGACCGAAACGGAAACAGGCGAACTTCAAGCAATCGACAATGAAGCTATTCCTGCAAATTCTATCGAAGCAGAAGAAGCAGACGAGGATGAGGGCAAACTAGAAATAGACCTAGAGCCAAAGTTGGATGACTCCTTCTCGAATACCTCCATTAAGACAGGCGAGCTACACTTGGAGGATAGTAGTGACGAACCTGACGATGTCTCGCTTACAACAGCCATTAAAACTGTCTCCAAAATTGAAATGAACACCGAAAGCATAGTGGTGAATGGCGTGAAGACCGACTCTTATGGTGTCGACGAGAAATTATTAAAAAGTCCAATTGAGACAGAGAATCCGCCGTCAGAAAAACAAGAAGTGCATTTAAAGGCAGACCACGATGACTCCAATCTGGAAGAATTCGACACCATCGAGAGTGAGATAATAAGAGAGTTAGTAAAGGAGGGTGTGGTGGATGCGAAAGGTAATGCGCTCAGTACGATACGTCAGGAGATTGAACAAAAGAGTGTACCAGCCGATGTGGAGGTGGAGCCAGCGGGCGAAGAGGAAACGCTCGAGGAAGCTCCGAGCAATGTGAGTGTTGTGGTCGACATGGAAAGAAGTGCCGTGGAGAATACGACTGAAATTCCGGTCGTCGAAACAAATTTGGAAATGGATGTGGAACATTTGACCAAATTTGAGGCCCCGCTGGACAAGAGCAACAATGCTGATCTGCTAAATAAGGATGCCAAGGAGGTGCTTGCCGAACACATCAAGACGGAACAATCAACGGACTGTCCGGAGGAAAACAAAGAAAATCTATCGACACCCGCTTCAAGCCAAGAACCCATGGAAATTGAACTGCAGGTGGTGGTGAGGGACCCCAAATTGGGGGACGATACTGAACACAAAATCGAAGATAAGATGCCCAAGGCAGAGGATTTTGAAGACCCAGTTGTTGTCGAGAACGACATTGACATCAAGAATGGTTGCAGCAATGGCTGTGACAATAAACCAAAGGACGACCTCTCCTCCATGGACTCAAGCTGCGACGAAAAGCAGCGCCTGGAGAAGGAGCGCCATTTGCAGAATCTCGGCCTGCTCACCCACCAGGCTGCCGAGCAACTGCGTCAAGGATACATCCAGGAGGCCAGCACTCGTGCCGCCCAACAACAGCAACAACAACACCACCAGCAGCACAGCAGCAAGCGGCAGGCATCCAAGGGAAGTAGCAGTGCGACACATGTCGAATCTAGCGGCACCCTAAAAACGGTCATCAAGCTTAATCGGGGAAGCCACGGTGGGGCCAGCGGCACTGTTGGCGTGCCAACGGGCACGGTTATCCATGGGACCAGTTCGATGAGCAACACCCGCCAATCAAAAGGCGGAAACAGTGCTGCGGCGCAGGGTGCGCGTCGCCAGTCGCTGAAGATGACATTCCAGAAGGGACGGGCGCGCGGTCATGGGAACGCGGATCGCTCAACCGATCAGCAGGGAGCCCATGGAGAGGACTATTATACCATACAGAATGAGGTAACAATTAGTAGCACCTGTTGCATAAAACTGACCTTACCTAATTCTTTTCCTCTCTCTCTCTCTTTCTCTCTGTTTGTTTTGCAGAATGAAGGTGCGACAAAGTCCAGAGCTAATTTACATTCAGGGAACGTTGCGTCAGCGGCGCAGGGTAGAAAGTCTATTAACCACACAACCACCAACCACTCACATAAAACAATCCTTGGTTTGTTTCTGGCTGCAGTGCCCCCCAACTATCATAGCCATACATTTCTGCATGCTTCCTCCATGCTTATCCATTGCATTAACTAGTTTTAGAGTTGCATTCAAATTTTTACTTCCAAACACGTTCAAAGGGCACTTAGGAAACTATGAGAATCAGATGTGGAACGCAAAATTTAAATCGGGTTGTTTTATGTAATGACAAACTTAAAAATAATTAAAATTGGCATTATAGGAATCTCTATATTGAACATTGGAAATTTATGAATTGAGATTTTCGGCGAAAAACAATCACCAGTTAAGTTGTTATAAAAATTCAAATATTTTGTTACCTGAAAACTTTAAAAAATAGATCTCAAAGTAATCCTATTACTAATTTAATCAAACAGTTCAAAATGGTCGCAGTTCATATTCAAAAATGGTGGAAAATGGGGAAAACCAAATTCATAGCCACTGCATAGAAAAATGTCGGAGCGATGGGCAAAACTTTAATCGTAAAAACTCTGCTTCTCTCTGCTGTTTAGATTCATCACATTCGGAGGGGCATGGTCAGGGGGACCACGGTTATTACCAGACGGTCAGTAATGCAGCGACGTGCAGTAAAAAGGACGAGAAGGAGAAAATCCTCATACCGGAGAAAGCATCCTCCTTCAAGTTTCATCCGGGACGTCTGTGCGAGGATCAATGCTATTATTGCAGCGGCAAATTCGGACTTTACGACACACCATGCCATGTTGGTCAGATTAAGTCTGTTGAGCGTCAGCAGAAAATACTAGCAAGTATGTTGCGCCAATCTTCGATCGTTCTGATCGCCCTTAAGACTCATTCCCCTCTTTCTGCACAGATGAGGAAAAACTGACGGTAGACAATTGTCTGTGCGACGCCTGTTTCCGACATGTGGATAGACGCGCCAATGCGCCCTCCTACAAGAAGCGTTTGTCGGCGCCCGGTCATTTGGAGACGGGCAGCGGAGACAAACATTATCCGGCCAGTGGTGTGGGCGGCACAGCTGCCGTCAGCGATGGAACTGTGTGCCCTAACGAGGAAGAATTCGGTGCAAATACGGCGCCGGCTATTCAGCGGTGTTGCACCGTTAAAGACTGCGCCGAACCCGCCGCCCATTCATTGCGTCGAAAGTGCATTAAAAAGAGTGTGAAGCGGTACCTTTTGGGCTTCGAGATTCCATCGGGCACGTCGAATGTGTGGCTCTGTTCAACGCACTACAACACAGTAATTCAGTACTCGGGCTGTGTGCTATGCAAGCGGCGTCTCGGCAAGAACCACATGTACCACATAACATCTGTAAGTCGCCCATATATCGTTGAATTGCTATCATTTTAATCATCGTTTCTTGTCGTTTTCAGGACACACACCGACTGGAGAAGGCGTTGTACGAGATGGGCATTCCTGTGCAGCTTGGCATTGGCACGGCCGTTTGCAAGCTGTGTCGTTACTTTGCCAATCTGCTTATGAAGCCGCCCGACAGCACAAAGTCGGCGAAAACCGACTTCGTCAAAAACTATCGCAAGAAGTAAGTTCCAGATATATTGATGGATGGGCGTGAATGAAAGCTAAATGTTATTTTCTTTCCCAAACTTCCTTTCAGGCTTCTTAAATTCCACAACATACAGGACGACAGTAATGAGGCCTCTGAAGTCGAAGAGGAGGAACACCCGGCGGAATCAGCCAATGAGGAGATGCCTGCAGCCACAGTCTCAGCCTCGGTGACAGCCGCTAGTGAGGATGCTGAAATGGTTGTCGACTACGATGGGCCCACAGACTCAAATTCGTCAAACTCATCGTCGATTACACCGCTTGGCAATTCGGCCAGTAGCAGCAGCAAACAAATATCGAAGCTGCAAGCCATCCTGCAGCAGAATTTGGGCAACAGTGCTGGCGGTAGTGGCACTTCCGAAACAAGTGGCTCAGGCTCGGGCTCGGGCTCTGGTTCCTCTTCCTCAAATTCAAATGCCAATACGAATGTTGGTGGAAAGGGTAAGGCGAGTGCCGATATATCGAATGTGTTGCGCAGCAATCCGAACATATCGATGCGCGAACTATTTCATGGCGAGGAGGACTTGGGCGTGCATTTCAAGGTGCCCTTTGGCAGCAGCAATAGCCAGCGCACACCCGAGGGCTGGACGCGTGTGCAGACTTTCCTGCAATACGATGAGCCGACACGACGGCTCTGGGAGGAGCTACAGAAGCCGTACGGCAACCAAAGCAGCTTCCTGCGCCATCTCATTCTCTTGGAAAAGTATTATCGCAATGGTGATTTGGTGCTAGCACCTCACGCCTCGCCCAATGCCACAGTCTATACGGAGACGGTGCGTCAGCGTCTTAATTCCTTCGATCACGGTCACTGTGGCGGTCTCGTAACAGCCAAGCCCCCTGCCTCGCATCCTCCAGCAGCCACCACCAGCAACAGCGGTAGCGGTAACAGTGTGCTGGCATCGGCACTTACTGCTTCACCGCCGGTCAATGTCAGCGCTGCTGAGACACAGGATCTGACTGCGGAGCCGACGATTCCTTTAGTGGAGTTGAACGACGATGATGACGACGAGGAGGACAGTCGCTATGCTAACGAGTCGCCGCCCAAACTCTTCACCAATGCCTCCGTCGACAAACTAACGAAGCAGCTGAGCTCCAATGCTGTTACCATTACTGCGCGTCCAAAGGAATCAGCGGCTAACAAGCCAGTGCCGACCACGGCGGAGGAGTCCACGCCGAAAACGAGCCAAAGCGGTACTAAGGATGTCGCTGTAATTGTTCCTTTTAATGCACAGACTGGCGGCGCATTGCCCTTAGCCTCATCCGCATCAGCAGCTGCAACGCCCGCCAACAGTCGCAGCATCTTAAAGGCAAACTTGCTGGGCACGAACAAATCTGTTGAGATTGTACCGCTGAGCAATAGTGGTGGAGGGGTCGGGAAGACCGCAAATACCACCAGCACCACAAACACAACCACAAACACAAGCACCAAAACTACCAATGAGAAGCAGCAGAAAATTCTGGAGGTGGCCAAAATGCTGCTCGGCATGGATAGCGAAGCGAATAAACAGCCAAAGGCCGTCTCAGGAACGAACCAAACGCCAGCAACGATCTCGCAGCACCAGTCGGCAAAGCCGCCCAGTGCCCCCCTTTTAACCTCGCCACCGGAACTGATTAGCCTGCAACGCCGACGCACTAGCAACGCTAGCGGCAGCGGCACTGGAGCGGGCTCTACTCTACAGGGCAGCAATGTCACCGCCAAGCGGCTGCAGTTGCCGCGCGTTGGCGCTCACCCAACTGGGTCAACGACAGCACGTGTCACAGGAGGAGCACCGCCCCCGCCGCCTAATGTCATCATACTGCCCGATACGCTGACCCTACAGGAGCGGCACGAGAGCAAGAGCTGGAAGCCAACACTCATACCGCTCGAGGATCAGCACAAGGTGCCCAATAAATCGCCCGCCCTCTACCAGACGGCCGACGGCCGTCGCCTGCCCGCTCTCGTCCAAGTACAGTCCGGCGGCAAGCCATACCTCATATCCATCTTCGACTACAACCGCATGTGCATCCTGCGTCGTGAGAAGCTGCGAGACCAAATGCTAAAAGCAAACGCCAAATCCAAACCGGGCCAGAATCCAACCAACCAGCAGGGAGCGCTCTCAGCAAACAGCTTAGCAGCTGCCGGGTTCTCCAACATGTATAAGTACGCCCAACAAACGGCACGTCAGCAGCTCCAACAGTTACAACAACACAAACAGCAACAGCAGCACCACCATCACCAACAACAACAGCAACAACAGCAACAGCAACAACAGCATCAGTTGCCACCTTTGCAGGGTGGTTTGCGACTCGCACGTCTGGCGGCAAAACCAATACCGCCACTCTCCAATCAACAGCAGCTAAGCGGCGGCAACGCCTCTAGTGGAGGAGGTGGTGGCACCTATCCACCCTTGCTGACCAGTGCGCTAAATATTGCGACAGCTGCCAACAGTGGTACTCTGGAGAGCAACAGCTCGTGGCTGTGGAAGAATTTTCCCGATTCCAATCAATATTTGCTGAATGGCAATGGCCAGCAGTCGAATAAGATGCCACATTTGGCGGCAGGGAAGCCAGCAACAGCCACAACCACCAGCAGCAGCTCAACAAGCGGAACACTCAAGTCGGTCAGTGGTACTGGTGGAGGTGTCTCCACCCTGACCCTTAAACAACAGCAGCAGCAACAGAAGCTCATTGAGAGCGCAATCATGTCGAAAATACCCAAAAGCCTCACAGTCATACCTCAGCAGATGGGCGCGGATGGTTCGGGTGGTTGTGGTGTTGGTGGCAACCACCACTCCAGCGGCGGTGGTGGAGGAACTAGGGAGTGATGATTGCATTTCTTTGGGATTCTACTTTCCTTCTCAACTCAATTGCTCTCGTCGCGTCTCGCCCGAACATGACAGGAGGAGCACGACCACAACCATAACCACATCCACACATTTAAGTTTAAGCGAATCAGGATTTAGAAAGCAATATATATAATGATTGCGGGGACTCAGAAGTATCTGCCAGTAGTAGCAACCAATATGGTTCATAGTCATGTCCTGCCCCTAAAATGTTCTGGTTCTCAATCGAGGAAGTTCATTTGCATGGATCGTTCGTTTGTACCAATTAGAAGACTAGCAGTTAAAAACACACACACACACACTTTAATATTATATAGATAGTGTGTGCATAATTATACGATAAATTATTAGGCTGTTCGCAATGAAGTCGGTGATTAAAAATGATGTCTAAGTATGCCTTCAACGTGAACTCGATTTACGATACAAAAACAGAGAAACAAAACATAAACAAGAAAACAGATAAAGATATATTATATATACATAAATATATATATATATATTTTTTTATTAGATTTTACGGCACCCACACATATATAGTTATACATATATACTTACATATTGCATAGATACCAAATCTCTAGATAGCTGAAACAGATATACAGATGCAGATTTATATAATATAATATCCACATGTAGATACCAACATTACGCAGGAAGAGCACAAACTAAATGTGGCCAAAATGTTATCATTATCATAAACAATAACAACAACAACAATAAGCAAAACACCATGCTCACCACTTGAGGAAGAGAGTTAAGTTGGTGGTGGATGGATGGATCGATAAAGCAATCCAATAAGTATAACACACACACACACATACCCGCTTAGTTTGTAAATCAGTTAGTTTGTCATTTTATTTAACATCCAATGCTGGTTGCTGCAAACAGAGGTTTAATTTAAAGTAAGCATTCTTTACAATTATAATATTGAAAATAAAAACAACAAAATAGACATAATTACGAGTGTAGACTTCTAATTTATGTTCATTTACATTTATGGTTAATTAATTCCAACAATTTTGTACATACATATGTATTAATGTGTCTCTGATAAATCACACACACAGCCACACATCAATAGACAAAACATGTAATGTGTTATTAAAAGAAATTCCGCTCTAATGCATTGTTTCCATCTATGCTATAAGAAATCAGAATTACAAATAATAAACAACTAAGAGAAATTTACAAAAAAAAAAAAAAAAAAAACAAACTAAATTGAATTTTCAAATGCAAGCGCTAAAACGAAAGCTTTCTAAAACCCATACATATTATTATATCTATTTAAAAGGAGATAAAACCATAAGTTAGTTCGCTAAGCATAGATATATTTATATGTATACACCTATAAATTCAATTGTTGTTGTTAAACATTGAAAATGTATTTATAAACAAAAACGAAAGAAAACTAAAAAAAAATCAAATTACGAATGTTGAGAATAATTCGGTTAACGTTTTGAAACCTCCTACCCTCCTTCCCTTTCCAAAAACAAAAATACACAAAAGATAAATACAATGTATAAAAAAATTATAAATTTGAAATTGCTGTACAGGAACCAGAAACCAGTCAGGATCCGCACATGCTGGCTAGGGCTTTCCTATTGTTTTTTTTTCTGTGTATGTACATATACTTATGGACAGATGTGTGTGGCTATGCAGCAGTACCATCTGATAACCCCCACAAAACATAAGAATAATTGCACGCCTATTTATACAATAGTTTGCGTCTCGATCCTAATCTACAAACAAACACGCATACATACATATATGTATGTATGTATGAACACTTCAATACAGACATCTTTTGTTACAGACAACAGAATCCGAAATAAATTCATTTTAAGTACTATGTCAGCTAAAAGATGCTTGTTGTTTTCATTCCAAAAACGAATTTCTACAGAAATCCTCTTCCAGAGCTGCGGGTCATCCCAAAGAACAGTGATTTTTGTGAGCGTGACCTTTGATGAGATTATGCCGAAATCTGTGAGGAGGCCATCATTTACGACGAATCGGGAAGAATCGACAAAATTGCAAACACGACGTTACGAAATCAAAGAAAAAGCGCCTCCATTGGATCGATCAACATTGTTCTCATATGTAGATATGAGAAGTAGGCAATTATTTTTAAAATATTTAAAAAGAAACAAACATGGTAATAAAAGATAACACATCGTTGTATCTTCTGGTTTGTGGAATTGATTGATTGATTCTAGTATTGATTTACATCCGCCCGATTATTTCTTTGCTCGGCTATTTCCTTTGGCTTGCCTTTATAATTCGTCCAAAAGTAGAATTATAATTTCATCTTAACTTTTCAAAGCATTCGTAATTTATTAGCAGCCTTGTGGGGGTAGACAAGTTATTTTATTTTGATGAGCATTAACTGCGTATGATTGTCATTTCTGCCATATATGGTTTATGATAAGCTTACTAGGTATGGGGATAAGAGAAGTCTACATGTCATGGTTATGGCTTAAAAGTTCTTGGATATCTCGTCAAAATATGGGTGCCGTGACTCCTTGCCCGTTTCTCCCTTTCGGCTACAGAGTATAAAAATACGAACGTACTAAAATGTTGAGAACTTTTGAACGGAGTCTTCCGATTAACTGCTCGTAGGAAAGATCAGCTTGAGAAACAACATTCCAATTCTTCTTATATATGTACGTACATATACATAAGTAGTATAAAGACTTACTAGATAGACCGATGGATAAATAATTAGACGAATCAGTTTAATTTCCGAGTGAGTATGGCGATATTCTTAAACACAATATCACCAAATAAAATCGCTTTATTTCACTTTCTCGTATAGTATGTACGTTTTGTAATTGGATTTGTAAACTATTAATTCTTAGTTATTGTTGTTTTTTATTATGTATGTATGTGTGTGTGTGTGTATGTATGTGTATTCGTTATAATTTCGCTGCAATGCGATTTATCCAAAAATAAATGTGACGAATTTCATTTCGATGAATATTTCTTTAGTTTCAATATAAATAATTTATAATTTGTATTCCATTTGGGCCGTCGGAATAGTTCCAACTTTAAGTACACTAAAAAAAATATTACAATTTTACTGTGATATATCAAAGATCTCTCCGAGATTTCATTATAAAAATAGTTCATTTTATGTGTTGTTGTTTTCGCCGTTTTTTTGCTTTCTTGTTTTAAAAATATTCAATGGAAGAGAACTTTTGCTTTAGTTGAATATCTTCTGTTTCATTACAGATTATATCGTTCTCCCTTTCTCTCTCCATGTGTATTGTTCATGTGTTCTTCTCTCTCTCTCTTTCTCTCTCTTACTCTCTCCCTCTATTTCTATCTCTTTCGCTTCCACTGCATGTCTGCCACCTACTCTACATATTTTCAGTGGGTTTTATTTTTTAAATATTTAGTCTGTAAGATTCACAGACTCTGCATATAAATATATATGTAAGTATATTTGCATATTTTACTGATAATTTCCATGGATGGATAGATATAGAAGATAGATAGGTAGATAGATTTGTATGTAAATGAAAAACAAAGGGTGTCAAAATCAAAGCGAAAATTTTTCTTGGATATATTCCGTATCCATAGTTTTTGTGATTTTTACTGTTGTTTTGGGGTTTTTTTTTTTTTTTTTTTAAATAGGTTTACAATTGGTCCAAAAATAGCGGCATACATCGGTTGTATATATGTATGTATTTGCGGATTATAATAATCTCCCTTGAAGTTTGAAGTTACCGTTACGAGTGTAGGTATAATAAATCTATGTTTAATAATATTATGATTAAAATTTATTATTATATCATCTGGCTACTGCTTCTTCTTCTTCATCATCATCATCTTCTTCTACTACTTCATCTTCGTCTGAGTTGGGGCTTTACAAATCGGTCTCGCCGTAGAGAGCTGTGCTGAAGGACATATAGTCGAGCGCGCCGGGCACGCCGTTGGGTCCCTTGTATGGTGGCATGCGCTGAATGCAGTACTCGGCCTGATCTGGCGGCAATTCGCGACGCAACTCGTCCGGCAATATGTATGGCTGGAAAAGAGGAATAATAGAAGAAGGATTTTAAATATGCATATACCCGTAGTATATGTATGAATTGGTGTACAAGGACTGCCTTTTAAGTTACGGAAACAAAGATATTCTAAAAAAAAAAACCACAGCTAGGGAACGATTCGATTTTGAATCATTATTTTCTGAAAGGTCTTACGTATTACGATCATATCTGGATGATAATTTGGATACCGGAACATTACGTTTGGTTCAGCCCAGAGCGCCACAAACTTAATCTTCATATGAAAAAAGTTAAGCTTCTCCAGTTTTGGACCTGGTTAGGGGCCTAATCATACGCTTCCCCAGATTCAAATATGTTAAGACAACTGGCCAAGCCTGAGAGAAACTTTAAAAGGAAACAGCTACTAGATGCTATGATTGGTATTTCCTTCCAAACTCAATTCTGACAATTGATTTGCAGATGCGTTGCCCGGTATTGATCATTTCCGAAATGGAAAGGGCAACATACATGAACGTATAATTGAAGGGAAAACTCACCTTGTCGGCGGCCAGGATTCTAAACGAATCAATGACTTGCTCAGCGGTATCGGTATCGGTGCTCTCACGGGTCATGAAGTCGAGGAAAGCATCAAAGTGAACGTATCCGGTGTTATTGGGATCGACAACGGCGAGGATGCGTTGGAAGTCCATCTCACCCTGTCTGTCCTTGCCAATGGAGTAGCCCAATGAGACGAGGCACGATTTGAACTCTTCGGGCGTCAAACGTCCGGTGCGATTCTTATCGAAGTGATTGAAACTGGAACGGAACTCGTTCAGCTGTTCCTGACTGATGCCCTTTGAGTCGCGGGTCAGTATCTGGTTCTCCACCTCGTTGATGTTGCGGTTAATTGAGGTCAGCAGCTGTTCCCAGCCGACGCGCAATGTCTCCATCGTGTAGTTGGTGTAACGATTCTCGAAGATCATCGACTCCTGGACAGCTTGATGGATCTTCTCCAGTTCCTCAATGTTGGGCTTGTAGGCATAGACCGCCTGCTCGTATTCCTTGAGGCGATGCAACTGATCCTCCAGCGAACCCTGCAAGCCCATTCCGATCGCTGTAACGGCGTCCATCTGTCTCTCAATCCAGGGGCCGACCACGTTCGCCTTTTCGGCGAACTGGCGACGCAGCATTTCGTTATTTTGCTGCTTGCGCAGCTCGTTGGCAAGCGTTTGGTCGCGTTGGGGCACCAATTGGCGCACATCGCTCCACTTGCGCGTCATCTCGTTGGCTGTGAGTGTGGTGTAGGGGTTCTCGAGACCACCAGGGATCTGGTGTTGCTTAACAATCGATTCGACCTCACGCACCAGATTCACAATCAAATTGAATTCCTTGTCGGCCTCACCCAGTGTCGCCTTAAATTGATCGTGCGCCTGAATCAGGCCCTGAATCTCCTCCATCGTGTGTACAATGAACATATCGACCAGATCCTCGCGTGTTCCGTCCAACCAGTTGTTGAACGGTGCGGCACGTTTCGCGAACTCCAAATGCAAGATGTCGATCTTCTCCAATATGCGTTCGGCCTCATCCAAGGCGGTGCGACGTCGCTGGGTCAGCGCACCCAAACGATCCCATTGATCGCAAATGCGTTGGCAACGCGCATTCACCGACACACAATCGTGGTACTCTAGGGTGCTTTACGACGAAAAGAAGAAGGAAGATAAAGAGTTTGTTAATTTGTGGATTCAGAATATAGGGGTATGGATGATGACTTTGCAATGAGAGGTGCTTTGGTGGACAACACGAACGAGTAGAACGTTAAAGTCGTGCCCGCCCGACTCTTGAATACCCTGTACCCACCCTTTTTTCCAACTTAACTAAACCTTGTTGTATGTCTATATATGTATATGCTTTATAATAAACATAAGGATACAATAAGTCTTCATACCAAGTTTGGTGTCCCTAGACGGTACGGCTCAAAAGTTATCGGCGTTCATACATACAAACAAATGGACAGATGGACGTTACATCTTGTTATGTTGATTATTTATGTATATGTGTGCCTGTTACATACATACATTTGGCTTTTCAACTTTCAAGTATGTATACCCTTTCACCTGTCAACCTAACCTCACACTTTTCGTCGCATTGTTGTCAGCATTGCATAGCATTCAATAAAATGGTTTGTAAATATTGAAAATGAAGGTTAATTAGCCATGGATAGTAGTTAAGGGATTGGGTTGGATAAGCATGGTTGGACGTCGAGGACTTACTTCAATTCTTGGGCAATGGCGGCAATTTGTTCGACACGGTCCTGGTGGGCGGCCAAGTCAGACTCAAAGGCTTCGTGCTTCTTCTTCAGGGCCTTCAATTCGTTCAGCTTGCATTGGCGGAAGTCCTGCGACTGCAGCATCTCCTCCTTGCCACGCGTCCAGTCCTCATGGGCATCGGCCTAGTTCAGAGAGGGGGGAGAATTAAAACATTATTTCTCTCTCTCTCTCGCAATATCCTTTTCCCGTGAACCTTACCTTGTGCTTGAACTTTTGGGCCAAGTGCTCAAGGCGTTCCAGGCGCATGGTCTCGGCCAGGAGCCACTCCTCGAACGCCTTCTCGGCGAGCTCGAGGCCCTTCCAAGCATTTGAGATGTCTGAAACGGTCTTGCCCTCAGTGGGCAAATAGGCTGGACGGTTAGACAGACGCAGCTTCGTCTGCAGGGTGTTAAAGTTAGTTTCGAGTTTTGCTTTCTGCTCAACACGTGGTGGCTTGTGCTTGCGACGGTACGTGCGGTACTCTTCGAGCTTCTTCTGGACCCCAGCCAACGAGTTGTCCGCCTGGCGGGAGTTCAGCCACGGCATCGTGCGACGGATCCATTCCAGGAGCTATTGGAAGCGATGATGATAATGATTTATTAAGCAAATCAAACACTCTCCTCTAATTAATGGTTACTCACGTCGCTAGCCAGACGCTCGTACTCCTCCATGAGACGCTCATTCTCCTGATTAACCTTCAGGACCTTGCAAATACGGTTTGCCGCGGTTTCCGCCTGTCGTTTCCAGAAACAAAATGCAATAATTAGTCAAATTTTGGCTTGAAGGGAAAGCTTTCCGAGTCTTTCGCCACCAGAGGGGGAGGCTGGATACCAACTCAGAATTTTGAAGCAACAAAGACCAAACGGGAAAACAACAAAATAAATAACCAAGCGATTCCAATTCAACAAGGAAGCGTTGCGTTTAGGACGAGCGCATAACACATTAGCATTGCAAGCTGTCAACGATAACTACTGCCCGTTTCTTTTCTCTTTTTCTTTTCGTTCTGTTTCGAATATGTTGGTGTATATTGTTTAGATGGGATTTGAATTTCGGTATTGATGACTGAAAGGGTTTCAAGGGAACTGAATGCGATTTCAGTTATCTATTGGATTCCCCTTTATATAAGAGTCTTGAACTCATCACTCATTATTGCTGGATCTATATTATTGCTGGATCAGGAATTGAATGCTACTGCGATCCATAGAATCTAATGCGGAATTGATTCTATAAAATTCTATGCGGATAATTCTATAAAAGGTGAGTCTCATCTTACGAATGGCTGTAACCGCTTCTGCCATGATATTTCTAATCATTTTTTGAGAAAATGGTTTGTTTGATTTCTTGAAGCCCAGTTAAATGTCCACTTACCCAACTGAGATCATTCTTGCTTGATTGTCTGACTTTCTTGAATCTGCTTGGCTTAGTGTTTTGAATTCTAAGTTGGGTTGATAGTCCAGCCACTGACCGGGCAGACCAATTTTTTCGTTATCCTTCTTGAGTCTTGCTGGCTTAGTATGTATAATGCTTTCTAAAGCAATTCAAAAGTCCACTCTTTCTCGATTATCTCACTTTCTTGAGTCTTCTTGGGTTAGCATTATGTGTTCTTAGACCAATTCAGAGTCCAGTCACTAGTCTGAGGGAATTCTTGCTTGATGGAATCCATCAACTTCATCTTGCATCTTCTTGGTTCAGTTTATTTGTAGATATCGCTTCTCATTTCATTCTACCAGAGATTGTAAATAAAGCAATCTATTCTACTCTAGCTATCCTGTGAGTTCGACATGTTTTTTTTTTTTTGTAAATTTCGGCCTTCAGATATCGAACTAGTATTGTATGAATACATATGTATATAGACAGCTATGCATATACTTGTATGTATATATATGTGTGTGTGTTGTGTATGAGTGTGTGTGTGTGTGTGTGTGTGTGTGTGTGTATAACAGACCTTTTGAGCGCCACTGAAACAGTGGTAATACGAAGAAACATATGTCATGACCGCACGTTCATCAGGCAATGCAGTATTCTGCAGATCTGTGTGATCGGTGTTGTTGGTTGTAGGCGTTATTGTAGGGGTTATAGTTGTTGTATTTGTTGTTTGTTGTTGCAGTAGTAATATTGTTGTTGTTAATGGCATTGATGAGCGCAGCAAAGAAACAAATAGAGAGAGAGAGAGAGAGAGAAAAAAGCAACAAAACATTCAAATTATTTGTCGGTTAGTCTTCGCAGGCATTCGAAACTTCAACATCAACTTCAGCAAACGATATTCATATATTATATATAAATATATAGATGGATATGTCTGTATATATGTAGGTATATTATAGATAGCTATCGAACAGTACGCCGAACAATCAATCCATTCTTGTTACGATTCAGGCACTATAACTGATTGATATATACATACATACAGATATATACATACATATATATACGGACGTACATATTGAATATACGAGCGGGTTAGTTAGCATCATCCAAACGTATATCATGCCCTAGCAATCGCCTTATCGTGAACAGCACTAGGAATGATCGATTCGATATCCAATCGAGTTCGTAGTGCTGCCCATTCTCAATGTGAGAGACTTTATTACAGACTATACATATATACAATAATGATATATGTATGCACATATACATATATGTAGTAACGAATGAATACTTTGACAGATCGGCCAAATGCAACATGCACCTGAAGATAATAATAGATATGTCCATATGTCTATTGATGTTCTTAGCCTAGGATTCCCTTAACACCTTAAAGCGCTTAAGCTAATACCAATTATTAAAATCGATATTATTATGAGCCTCATGCCATAACTATGAATGAAGAAACTAGAAGTTGTATGAATATTCCATTTGTAGAGATTTTTGGGTCAGTTCTTAATAATTTAAACTTCCATTTTACTGATAAAGGAATTACTTTCACGAATATCTCCAGTTCCTGAGACTTAAGAAACATATCTCTATATATTTTTTGCTTTAGTAATAAACGCGTTTTAACTTTAGTTTGCAGGCTAGAATCAGCTTTTATAAAACTTTCTATTTAATAATAAAAGAGCATTTTAGAAGGGTTTTCAATATTACTCATGGAGCTCAGCCGTACTTTCGAGTTTCATCCATTAGCTGAATCAATTTTTTTTTTTCCAGGAAAACCTTAATTTTGTTTTCATCTCAAAATCAGAAAAAATTAGAAAAATTCGAATTTGATTGTTCTTTTTTGTTTTGAAAAGCTTCAATGGGAATATCCATTGTTTTAGCTTTTAATTTCTTACATTTTTTTCGTCACGCAATCGGAACATTAAAATGCAAATGTGAGAAATGGCAAGGGATTTGTAATTTAATGAAAAGAAAGTGATTGAAAATGTACTCATTTTTTTGTTGTCTGACTCTAAGAAAACTCAAAAAATTAAGAAGTTAATCAAAATGATTTTGAAAATAATATTTTTTTAATTTTAATCTTAATAGATTTTCAACAACTCATTATCAAAAATGGAAAATGTGTTTGGTCTTTTATCTTTTCTACACCTCCTTGATATAAAAAACTGACTTATAAGTTTAAAAAAAAAAAAACAACACCAAATTGGAAAGATAATAAAAAATAATTGTGAAATTCATGTGTTTCATCTGTTAAGGAACTTTTTAATTTAACTATCAATATTGAAAAATTAAAAGTGAGTAAAAAAAGCATTTTAAAACTTATTTATTGAATAACCTATTATTGACTGGACATATTTGTAAATTCACATACGCAATGAAAAACGAACATATGCGCGTGTGTGTGTTAACAGAGCTTTCAAAAGCTTTCAGCTAAGGAGCGTAGCTTGCGAGAGTCTGTGAAGACATTTAGTAAGTTTTGGAAGTGGGGTTAGTCGCAAGCTCAGCTCGTCTCAGCTCGGCTCAATATTGGCGTTAGGACAATTTTTACACGAAGCGAGGCGCAAACGATAAACGATAAATGGTAACGGTAAACAACAAGAAACGGCATAACGGCAAATGTGCAAGAATATCGAAATATCGAATCAAAGGCAAAGGCATTGGGGTTTTGCTTATTTGCACATTTTCCAAAAAACAAACTGCAATATATATATGGATATAGAACGAGAAAATGGAATATATCATATTTAAGTGTATCTTTGTGAAGTTTAGTCACATTGTAATTATTCGGGACGTAGGTGTATTGTCTTGTGGGTTCGGGTACATGCGTCACATTTCCAACCTGTTGGGCTCCCTGGAAGGCGTGATAGTAGCAGGAGACGTACGTCATGATGGCACGTTCATCCGGTTTCGGAGTGTTGATTAAATCTGTTCGATGTTCCCCCATGCATCGATGTTGTTGTTGTTGTTGACGACGAGGACGACGATTTCGTTGAACAAAATAGGAAACACGTTTTTTTTAGGCAACGCATTTGCAATAAAGAATTGTAGGAGCATTAATATGGGCCCAATAGTCGGCTATAATCGTAGGATCCTAATCGACTACACGCGCTTAGGTGTTTTGTTTTGAATTGTTAACTTATGCCTTTTTGGGGCATACATATGTATGTATGGTTAACGAGATTTCGCTTTAGAGAGGGGTACATACCATCTGGATCCAACATCCTTGGAATATCTAGATATTTCTCAGCAACATCGAAGGCAGTGTTCAGATTCTCCAATGGATTGTCTTTGGAAAGTTTGCCATAGTCGATCAAGTCTGGACGATGGCGATGGATGAGAGCGCAGAAGGCCAAGCCATCCTAGAATTACAAAAAGTAAATGAAACCAACAATATTACTTGTATTACATAAGTGGAACAATCATAGACAGCAGAAGCAATAGTAGTAGCAGGAATAATTATAATACTTGCCTTGAACGACAGATGGAAGTTCTGTACGTTGACGTTCTTATAGGGCGCCGTTTTGCGCTGGCACCACAACAGTAGACCCTCCTTGGCAGTCATCTCCTCCACAGATATGTCCTGAATGGCAAAACGCAAGATGATGGTCCAAATCATGCCGAGCGTCATTTTCAGATTGCCATCGACAATTTCCTCCGCACCTATCGACACCAGATGCACACCCTTCGATGCAATAAAGTCCAAAGCCTTATTCACATTCGCGATTTTGTGGAAACGCATCTTGCCGCGATCTGGCTTGGGCAGCGTCTCTCCCGAAATCACTTCGAGCAGCAGCATCAGCTTCAGACCATTACGGAAATCCTCCTCGATGTTGTCAATGGCAGTGCCGGCTTTCCGCAAATGACTGTTACACCATGCGGTAAATGTCTAAGAGAAAAGAATGGAATACAATAAAGGGATTAATATTTTAACTTTTAAAAAGAAAAATACTCTTCATTAAAGAGATTATTTATTTTGGTGGACTTTATTTAACAGGCAGAAAGAGGCGTGGTAGCTTCTCTGCTTAATATATATTATGTACATATATATGTACATAGGTATTTAGTACCTATAATTGGCATTATTAGACGAATTTCTATCAGATATATTCGTCTGTTGGACTGTCTATCTGCATCGCTCATAACATTGGCACCAGAACAGCAAACTAGGCATTACATTACATTACATTTTTATACCCTGTACCCGTAGGGTAAAAAGGGTATATTAGGTTTGTGCAAAGTATGTAACATGCAGAAGGAAGCATCTCCGACCCCATAAAGTATATATATTCTGAATCAGCATGACGAGAGAAATCGATCTAGACATGTCCGTCCGTCCGTCCGTCCGTCTGTCCGTCCGTCTGTCCGTCTGTCCGTCCGGATGAACGCAAGGATCTCAGAAACTATAAAAGCTAGAATAACCAAAGTTGGCATCCAGATTCTCCTAGGTCCGAGAAAGGACGAGTTTATTTTATTTTTTTGGATTTTCCCCCCCTTCCCCCGCTACAGAATTTCGTCAATAGCGTCCACATTTCAAATTCTACCTAAACCAAACTTTGCACACATAATTTATATATAATTGTCTACTGTTGTAAAAAATTCAATATTCAATTCGGTCAATTCTAAGAAAAGTTATTAGCGAAACAAATTCTCGCCAGTACAACCCCCACAAACTGCAGCAACAAGTTCGCTCTTCTTCTTCCTCTTTTTGCTGCTGCTTTGGGCGCATATAACTCAGTGACGGAAGTTTACCTGGGTACAGGGTATTACACTGTCGGGCTTGCTCGACTGTAGCGTTCTCTCTTGTTTTTATTAATTTTTTATATCAAGCTTATCTCAATTCTTGTTATTGCCTTATAAAGGTACCGTAATATGAACACTCTTATAAAGGCAACTTTTCCGTTTAACAATTATAAATGTTGAGAAAAGAATCTTTTTCTATTTTGTATTGGGCTAAGATAACCATACTATAATAGCGAGATTTCAAAACGAGTTTTCTTCTTCTTGAATTTGACCCGAAACAACCCATCTGATTCACTTTCTTCATTAATTTACTATTACAACTAATAGAAATTAAATAACGGCTACGTAACAGATTAGATAGCTTTACCCAGCTCCAACTCTCTTATGAGAACGGAATCCAAAAAATACCAACTAACTAATACCAAGTATATTAAGTCTATTTAGTTGGCCCAACTCCCATAGAAATTTCAGAAATCTTTAAAAGATGAGAATCTGAATCTATTACATTAAGTAGATCTAAAATATATATCTTTGATCTATACACATGAGTTTTCATTTAATAGCTAGTTTAATAGCCAGGTTAGCTAGATTAACTTGCTTGATCTAACTCTTTCTCTTCAATGTCTTAGCTCTATAGAGCCTCATCTTCATTAAATGGTTCGGCTACTGGAAGAGGACCTGCAAAGCTCAAATGAAATACTTCTTAATGGACAAGCTAGCCTAACCAACTCCATTCCATTGCATAGATCGATAGATCTTAAAATAATATTTAGGCTTCAAAGCGCATTAGCTTCTACTTAATGGTCAACCAACTTGCTTGCAATCTCCGCCAACTGTTGCTCCCCAAATGGCAATAAAACGTTAAGGCCCGGAAATGGCGAAAATGAATGAGTTGCATTTCGGAAAAGCCGATAGAGCCGGCAACGTTTACGGGACTTGCTGCCTGCAGAGTTCCAGATCCGTTGCAGTAAGACAGGCTAGCTGTGGCGATTAGAGAAGATGTCTTCTGGCGTGGTCGTGGTGGTATGATCTGATCTGTGCCGGTTTGGCCGGCCCGCAATTGCGACTGCGACTGCGACTTCAGTTTTGTCTGTCTCTACCAGTTGCAGTTATTTTTCACCGAATGGGCACAACAAGAACAAAGAGAAAACGAGCCAAAGACAATGTACGAGTAAACCAGTTTCTTTTTTCTTCTTTTCTGTTTTCTTAATTTTTGCACAAACTGCATAACGTTTGGGTCGTTCATTGCAGCCATAGGAACACATGTTCCCATTTATTCCGATAGGCTATATGTATATGCATTGCCTGATATCTGGATGATTATGCGAGTCAAAGGGCAAAGCCACCCCACCCACCCACTGACATTTGAATGTTTCAACTGAGGCTTTCTTATATGGAACCATTTTCGCTGAATGCCCCGAAAAACGGACCTCTCCATAATGAGACCATTCTTTAAAGTTCACAAAAGATCTGCCGTTCGTGTGGGCAGCGCTGGTGTGAATGAAAGCCGATTTGATCACACATACTATATGTATGTATGTACAGAAATTCTTTGGTATGTAAATATGAGGCATCAATGGAAAAGTGCTCGGTGAAAAGGAAAACTGAAAACTGTATGTCGAATGAGGAGCAAATGCTTTATAATGTTTCATATGCATAACAATAAAACAAATAGAGGCCAGACCGCTATAGATATTTGGAAATGCATTTTTTTTTTATTCATCTTTGTCACCATTTTTCTCCTCATCTGCTTGAGGAGAACAGCTTGTCCGGGGAAATGTGGACGTGAATATGTGAATAGAAAATGGGGCAACTGTTGCTTTATTAACAGTTACAGTTACGATGCTGATCACCAGACCAGCCAGTTGCCGGCCACTCAATGACACAATGTACAGAAGAGCATTGACGGTCAGTGTGCGACTGAGAGCGGGGAAGAGGGGACATAGTGTTGGTGATGGCGATGGCGATGGCTTTGCCGGTTTTGTCAACTTAAACAAACTTGAACCGCAACAAATCAGCCTCAGCCCCAACTTCACTGCATCCCAGTGAGAGAGTGTGGGAGAGAGAAAAAGATACTAGAACGAACGAGGAAAGGTGAAAGAGAGAGGGGGGAGAGAGAGAGAGAGGCGCGCAAGCAAAAGAGATGAGAGGCTTTTCCAATAGAAGAGTTAGAAGAAATGCTGCAACTGTTAATGCAAATTCCTGTATGCGTGCATCTCTACGCATGCGTATGTATGTGAGTGTGTGTGTGTGTGTGTGTGTGCACGTCATTGTATAACGATTAAAGTGGTATCAAAACAAGCCCAAAAGAAGAAGCAAAAGAAAAAGGCAGCACGCTATTAGAAACCGTCTAAGAGAAAACATCAAAGAAATGAATTGTATCACTCACAATCGCCACAGCATAATTTTAAACGCATACTTATACGAGTATATTACGTGCATACATACATAGGAACGTACATAAGTATACAAGTGGGATAAAAAAGAATACGTCTTCAAAATAAGAAAGGAGTTGTCAATTCGTTTTGATTTTGAAAGAAAGTCGAACAGTTACGTGATATATAGAGATGGGAATAAATCGTGTATGAGAAATACATATGTATATGAAAAATACAAACAGTATGTATGTACGTGTACATGTGTATGTTTATACATCCCTTTATTTATAAGATTGAACTAGAAATGTCTTACAAGTGCGAATTGAAGAGCTGTCCTAAGTTGAATGAATAATGTAATAGAAAATTGTACACAAACTTTAAGCAGATTTATCTATATTTATGGTTTATGTATTTACAAATTATATTCAATTAATTTTTAAAATTTTAAAGCACCTAAGATAGTATTACCCTTTAAAATAACAAATAATGTAAATAGTATAGTGATTTTTATAACATTTTCGTTAGTAGGGAGCTAAAAAAGTTCTCAGCTTTCTCACTGACTACTTGTATAGTATATCTATTTTTAAATAAATTTATCGGCACATTAATGACGATCATATGACTATATTTGATTACAAACACAATTTCGATCAAATCTGATTAATGGCATTTTTGAAAATCCATCACATTCTGGACTTGTTCTAAACATTCCCTATTTAGATCCGAACCAATTACCACTGTACAGAGATGAATTGCCTATCATTAGGAAGCAGGAGAAGAGAGGGATTGCTGGGTGGAGGGGAATATAGTCAGCAAACTGGTCGGCGCCAACAATCTGCATGCCGCCTGCTCCACGCATTCCGATTCCGTTCGTCGCCAACCCGTTTCAGCCGGCTGTGGCGGCAGTCATTGGCCACAACGTCGAGCTCTAGATAACTGGGTTGGTGAGTTTTAGTCGATTACCGTTATCACGGTGCCACGGCACAAAGTCAACAACAACAACATTGACAACAAATGTACTGTCACAGCCATTGTCGCTAATCTACTGCGCAAGGAATTGGGTGTTTCGTACACTCAGAAAAATACATTTTCCGCGTGTATGATGAAAACCCGATTCCTTGAGGAAATGTGTTTCGGCAAAAATCCTAATTAGAAAGATTGACCCAAATATTATTTTTTTGAAAACACCAAGTATTTAGGTTGGATTAGGAAATGAAATTTTGAAAAAATTGTGCAAAATAATAGTTTGAAAGTTAGAAATACATTTAAGAAATTATGTTCTGCTTAATAAATTTTCAGATAAAAATGTTCTATTGCAAAGTTTACTTAACATTATTAAAAAGCACACTTGTTCTATTTAAGGTAGGTCTAAAAGCCTTTAATTTTATTTAAAGGGCCATCTCGAGTATTTTTTTCTGAGTGTAGGTGGCAGGCGGCAGGAAGGTCGGTGCATATCGACCGACGATCTGTCGGGACTAGAAAAATCAGTTTTGTCAATGCGCAAGCGCTAATAAAAAAAAAGAAACGCTTTTTGCTGGGACCGCTCTATTTGTGTACATCTGCACATGTGTTTGTGGGTGAGCTTTCCGAAAAGCTTCCCGCCAACCATACACCACATCGATGTGCTCGCTCTCGCGCACCATTTTTGGCTGAATGTAATTTGAGCGCCTCATAGCCTCGACTCTTTCGCACACATCCCAACAGGCATGTGTGGACGGTTCCGCTAGGTGGCAGAGGTAGGGGGTGAGACGAGTGACAACGGCCGTTG